CAAATCGAATTGAGTGATATTATCGAACAACTTAACACTATCAATCTTCTATTCTCCTAAATAAACCTGGGAAACGTGAAAATTGCATTACAATGTAAATTCATCGTTAGTGGAAATGTAATATAGGATTTCCCGGCCAAATTCGCGTGTTTGTCATTCGAATTCATTTACTTTGCATTTAAGTTAGCGCAGATCGGCTTTACCATGCCAATTATCATTCAATTTTCCAGTTTTTGTATTTAATTTAGGATTTTGGTCGAAGGGTTTCATAGATCTGCCATTCAATCTAGAAACTGCTCAACTAGCATTCAAATTAATATTCACTTGTCGAAGCGTAATTTTTATCATTCAAATTAACACCTGTCATTCGTATTCGTAATATTTTTATTCAAGTTAGGAATATTAGGGGGAAGAATTGCAACAAACTTTTAAAGTTTTTAAATAATGCAGTTAAAATGCATGATTTGCCATTGGGTTCTAAGTTGTTATTCCAGTTATTAATTTTCAGGACAATGCAGAGCTATGGGTCAAACATAAAGTAAAGAAGGGGCGAAATCAAGGGATATGGCAATTCTGCACGGACATGTTCATATACCCGGGAAAGTTGGGGGTACCCTCAATCACCCCTTTTTACTACAGACTTGGAATTTTACAAAAGTAATTCACATCGTCTCTTATACCCAGCACACCCCTCTGTTTTTCTTAAAGAGTTTTATAGTTTACTTGCTCGCCAGCAGATCGATGGCTAAAGACTTGGCTAAATAATGATTCATGTTCAAATTGTTGACTTTAGTCCCTACCCCAGTCACAGTATTGTAACCTTCTTCCATAATGAAATTATGATGAAATTATGATTAATTTATGATGAAACATAAGACAAACAACTTCCTTACATGAACATTTACAAATATATTGAGACCATCAGGTCCGTAGATGCAAGTCGTTTTTTTCTTTTTAACGATCAAACTTAAATGCTGATGAATATCACATAAATCTAATAAGTATAAGTGTATAAATGCAAGAAAATGAAATATGATGAAATACACATGAAAAAAAAAGAATGAGCTATAAAAAGTGTGTAATAAACGAGACATGTATATTGACCATCAATTTAAGTGCACAAAGTGCTAAATTGAATGCTACAAATGAATTAGAATGCTAGAAGTACACTGTCGAGTTGTCAGAAAATCGTGTTGCGCCAAATCGAATGACCAAATAGCGAAAGAAGCAGATTGTTCATTAATTTGAATGAAACATACGTAGATTCTAACGAAAAGTTCATAGATTTGAAAACTAGAAAAAGGAATATAAACCCGAGATATACCTGACTGCACTAAAACCGTCGAATTTGAACGCAAGACAAATTAATTTGAATGACAAACTCGCGAATTTGGCCGGGAAATCCTGTACAATATCCAACAATGGGCAAATAATTGTTTCCAGACCAATGATTTAAGTGGGAAGAACTTACATTATATATTGAAACTGTTGCCGTTTGTATATACATGAAATTGAAATAATAAGTAGCCTTGAAAGTGTCGCAATATATCATGTGTGAGTGAGCTTGAATGTGTAGATTTGTTTGAGACTATATTTCCTTTGCTGCTTGGGGTCCAGGGGAAAAGCCCCAAAGGGGGTCAAGGGGTGGACCCCCTGAAGCTCAGGGGTTTTAGGCGTTTATTTGTGACACTGTCAGGTCGTTAATTGACGTGGGGTCAAGGGGCCCCCTAAAGCTCAGGGGTTTTACGCATTAAATTACGGTTAAATGAGCATATAGGGGCCCTCCTTATGGCCCTTAGTGGGGTCCAAGGGCAGAGCCCCTGGAAGCTCGGGGGTTTTAGGCATTTAATTACCGTCAGATAAGCATCCAGGGGCCCGCCTTATAGGGTCCATTGTAGGACCCAAGGGGTGGATCCCCCGCAAGCTCAGGGATTTTAGGTATTTAATTACGGTCAGACGAGCATATATTGCGACACTTTTTTCAAAAAAGTGAGGGGTGGGGGGGGGGGGCTCGAGCCTCCCGATCCGCGGGCCTTGACACGTAGGCTTCTAAATAAGCATATTTTTGGCTCACTGTTAATTTGGGAATTTTCCATAAACGAATACGACAGTATAATTTACAAAAAAGTGAGAAATACGTTTGAATCTTTTTTTTTTGGGGGGGGGGCAACTGCCCCAAGCCCCCATCAGTACGCCAGTGCGGGGGGGGGGGGGCGATGGAGCATTTTGAACGAGAGGGGCGAAGGTGACGGCACTGACTACCCCTCACAGGTTTTGTTGTATTAAAAAATTACTTTCCTTAGCAAAACTATATTATAAAACCAATCAATATACCTCTTTTACTTTGCTGGTAACTTGTGGGTAGTCCGAAGGGTTGTAAATATCAGTTTAGGATTTCTATTTCCCACTCTAGACCTCTGTCATATACATGTATATTGATATCGCTATGGGAGTTGAAATGGCAAATATCAGCCTGGTAGCGGGTATTTTACCTGACTGCTAAGAAAGCATAAATGCTTGTTTTTTTAGTAAGTAACCAGACGGCCGACGGCTTTAGGTCCTCTCCGAGGGGCCTGGTAATGAGGAATAATGCCTTCCAAAAGAGCACTAGCGCCTTGACTTGGTTTCGAACCCGGGTCACCGGATTACAAGACCACTGCTCTACCGATGTTAAATTATCAGCCTGGCAAATATATACACTTAATATCTTGTATTACTCCTTACTGAAAAGAGCAAGCGGAATATTCATTTTTGTAGCACACTAGCACTGATCTATTTCTATAACTCTTAATCTTGTAAATATACAGTGTAAACTGTGCTTACGTGATACCAATGGAATATAGATTTTCTACAATATTTACTTGTATGTTTAGGGATATTAAGGGATGCTATAGCGAACGAGCGAGAATATTTTTTTTTCTTCATTTTTATTAGTCTAAACGCTGTACTCTTGGGCCCTCCAGAGCTTATAAGTGTGCTGCAGTCTTTAGTCAGTGTTTGCTATTATTTTTTTGCACTTTTTCGGATTTCCGGGGGGACGTGTCCCCCGTCCCCCTGGGATCGCCGCCCCTGCCGACAATTAATAAGAGGACACTTTTCTTCTTTTTTTTGTTGGGTCTCGAAATTTGAAAAATTGACATTTTGCGGGGGGGTAAGGTCACCTTTTATAGGTCAGCCATGGGAATTTTTTTTTTTTTTATAAAAAATAAATAAATAAATGAAATAAAGGGGGGGTTAGGGGGGTTATGGGGGTTTACACACAGAAAATAACCAAAGGGGGGGTTAACCCCCCCCCCCCCTCCCCCTGTGTACGCGCCTGTACTTGAATAAACTAGCTTAATAACAGTTGTGTAAACAAAATATGCGCGGCCTGGACGTACGTACGTACATTTCCGCGCGCCCAGTCTAAGAATTCAGACTCGTATTCCGAATATGCATGTAGACATGTTAAACGATTTAAATTAATGGCTGTGCAGTGAATAATTGCCCCGAGGATGATTAGAAATATATTGACATTTAAGTTATTCTGACATTAAACTTAATTATTGAAAATATATCGCCATTTTGTTTTAATGTAGAGATTTCGTTTGATATAGTTGCAAAATATGAGTTATTTGCAATCGATTGCAAGTCAACATTTTTTGCAACGTCCCATCATAAAAACATAACACTTCAAACATAAAACCCACTAAATAATACGCCAAACTTTTTGTTTTAAGGTTTTTCTGAAAATAAACGTTAACAAATCGAGTGGACACTTTTCGCCAATCGCAGACTCATATCGCCGATCTAGGAGACGCATATCGCCGGTGGAATGCGGCGAGACGCGTCTCTAAGACGCATATCGCCTGGCGATATGCGTCTGTACAGACGTGATTTCGCTAAGACACATAACGCCACGACACCGGCCCGGCCCCCCTCTATTCAATGACGTTTGCCAAGCCTTCTGGAATGACCCCAAATCTCCCGATTACAGTTTTCCCTCATTCGTCGTTACTGTCACTTAGTCCCATTTCCTTGTCTTTCCCCCTTTCTCACCCGACTTTTCTTTTTCCCACCCACCCCCCCCCCCCCCACCCCCATCCACGCAGTGTTATCTAAGGTACGCACATGTATGTTCCCTCTCTTTGAAAACACCCCTCTATCTCCGGTGTGTAAGGTCAGTACGGGCCGGATTTTTGTGTATTACGGGCCGGACTTTGTTGCGTGAAAAGTACCTCTTTATCTGAAATTTTGGGAACACAAATTCGGTCCCTCCGGGAGGGGGGGGGGCTTTGTTCTTTATCTTTTCTCTTCTCTTTTCCTTTCTCTTCTTTTTTCCTTTCTCTTCTCCTTTCTTTTCTCTTCTCCTTTCTTTTCCTCCTCTTCTCCTTTTCTCTTCTCCGCGGCCGTTTCGGCCCCCCCCTGGATCCGCCACTGGTGTATCAACCATACATGATTGTCTACGTCTGGGGAGTGGGGACCATCCGAAAGATGTGACTCAACCAGTCTCGAACTGGGGTCCACTGAGTCAATTTGAAGCCCAAGACAAAGAGCTCATGGCCGTGTCGTGGTCGCGTGGTTTAAGGCGCTTGACTGGAGATGCGAAGGTCGATGGTTCAAATCCCGACATGGCACTAAATATCATTTGACAATATATTAACCTGCACTTGCTACTCTCCACCCAGGTGTTAAATTTATCACATCCTACCGGGTAGCCATTAATGGCTACCCGGTAGGATGCGACCGTCATTGTTGGTCAAACACTTTTTGAGCGTCAAGTAACACCTGGCTGGAATGCTCCCCAGTGTGTGAAAAGCTTAATATTATTCGTATTATACCAATGATATTACCGCTATACCAACTCGTATCTCCCCAAGACATTTAATTATAATGTTTTATTTTGTCTGTAGACAATATTGCTCATCAAGCCAAATGAAACCAGTTTAAACTGGTCAAACGATCCGTGTTTGTCACAGAACATTAGCAAAAGTCTTTCGCCGACCAGCAATGTCTTCTCAATGGCAGAGGTCATCAACGCCAAGACATCGTATAAGGTCAACGACACTCTACAGATCCGCATTACAGCAAGGGATGTAAACAACGTCATCAAGACTTGCGGAGGTGACTACTTCCGGGTCAAACTATACACTGCAGAAACACAGTCATCCTGGAGCATTGACGTCACAAATGACCTAGGAAATGGTTCTTACATTGCTGATGTGACGTTACGATGGCCTGGGAAGGTTGCAGTGATTGTGACGTTGGTTCATCCCAGCGAGGCTGTGAGGGTTCTGCGAAGGATTCGAGACCTAGAGCCCGGTAGGATGGTCTTCAAGGGGCGCTACCTGAAAACTCTTGACTCCGGGGTCGACATCTCTGAAGATGTTATGTGCCTTCCAAAGGTCATCCGTAATGTAAGTAGTAGATCTCTCTCTCTCTCTCTTTCATTTTATTTCATTTCGTGTTTCATTGCACATTCGTCCTCAGATGTACTGTACAACGAAGAGAACGAAACAAAATAGTACATAAGATTTTAACATTTACGTAAATATAATTGTAATGGTAACTGAAGTATATTGCATAATCTTGAGGTTTATTCTGTCCATTGTCTTGGTAATATAGAGTGGTGAAGTGTGACGTCATCAAAAATCAATTTTTAGAATTTATCATTTTTTTCTTCATATTCCAAAAGAGCATTACAAATAATGTCCATATGTCAAAATCAATTGAATGTGTTAAGTATTGGCTGAGATATGACCACCTGAATAAATATATTTCCTATAGGAACTCAGTGTTATTTGCTCTGGCTCCTAACCATTAAGAGCGAGAGCAAATAACACCGAGTTCCTATTTGAACATTATTTTTGCTGCTCTTTCGGAAAATGAAGAACAAATTTAGAAATTCAAAAAAAAATATTTTTATGACGTCACAGCTTCGGCACTCTCCCTCTACACAGGCTATAATGCCGAAAGTTTGGAATCATTATTTTGTGCACAACGTAAATATAAATACATGTACATGCTCTGCTTTCTATATTCCTTTTTGTGTGTAATTAACTGCAAGGGTTAAAAAAAAGCTGTTTCTAGGAAATATAACAGGATTGTGTATTGTGTAAGAATAATGTCCTTTAGTGAAATACTATAGGGGTTCTTTACTGAATTGGGGGGGGGGTAGACCTTGACAGGGACATCGTAAATGTCAGGAGTCAAATGTTTACTCATAACCCAAACCTCTGTTTTTTTGAAGAAATATAAATAAATGAAAGTCAATCTTGCAAAAATCTGAATAAATACTTAACATATGCATATCAATAACTATGAGTCTGAATTGTAATTACCTATATCAAATGTATGTGTATCAGTTGTAGCCATGTGTATCAATTGTATGTAAGGGTACTGTATGTGTGTAGCAAGTATGTGTATGCGTGTGAGAGTGGATGGGTGCATGTATGCGAATTAATTTGTTTCGTTTGTATTGATGCTGACAGCAATCTCTTTGTAACTTCACGGATGAAAGATCAGGCTATCCATGGCTCTGTGTAGCGCCCTCTAATAAGGCTTTATCTTGTGATGACTGGAAGCTGTACACGATAGACCACAATTTATGCGAGAAGTACACGATGAGGGCCGTCAGCAAGGAAGAGCTAACAATATTCCAGATGTAAGTAATACTTTACTTATGTCATCATATTTGCAAAGAGACTAAGAAGGAAAAGTGTGAGCCTAATACCCATAATGCTTGTTTGATCTGCCGCTAGCATGACAGAATATTGACAGAAGAATCTAGACAGCAGAAGTGATATCTGATTAGTCAGTCATTCCATTGAGCTTCTCTCTCCATCATGCATGACATTCATTCTCTTTCCAGATGACTCAGATGTTCCATTCCTTCGTTACATTCCTAACAGTACCGACAGAGGCGTTGCTACAGGGTGGGGTGGGGGTGGGGGGGCGGTTAAACCAATTCTCCCTGAAGATTTACCACCTGAACCAATCCCCCTAGAAAATTACCACCTAAGGGCAATTTTTATTTAATTCATAAAGTCTCTTACATGGAAAAGGGAACCCCTTCAATTCACATTCTCACCTGGCTGTCCGCTCTCTCCGTTCCTTCGTGTAGACCTCGATTTCATTCATCACCTCCTAGTAATTGTTCTGAGGAGGTTAGGGGTTGGGAATCTCTTGGGATTATTTTGTCCTGGGGTTAATTGTATTGGGGGTAATTACCTGGAGCGGGAGCGTTGATTGGCTTTGCGGTAATTGTCCCCATGGGGTAATTGTCCGGGGTAGTTTACCGGGGAATTTGTTCAGGGTGTAATTTTACGAATACGTACAGCGGAGCACGGGGCCATGGGAAAGTGAGAGGGGTGAACAAACTAAAAAGAAGCGTAGGAAACAGTAGCCTTAAAGATACAGGTGAGTCTTGGTAATGCGATTGTATTGTGAAAGAAAAGTGTGGAATGGATCAGAAACAGTAGATCATGTAGCCTGTAAGTATTGGTGTGCACTACAAGGTTCTGGAGTCATCAAAATCATAATAAATTTGGCCGAGTCTTGGTGAAGTATAACAATCACTGTACACAGAAAAAAATGTTTGTGGGACAACACAAATGGTGTCGGGGCTAGTACTACCCTGATTTCCTTATCTTTCTATGCTCATTACTCAGCCAGTATACATTTTCTTCCAAAATTGTTTGGCACATGACATTTATTTGTAATCTTGAACATTCAGTGTAAGTTTCGTTAGATTCTGTGAGAATTCATTTTCTTTTTTTACCAGAACTCAAGTTTATCATATTTTCTGTGCATTTATTTTCCGAGTAGGATAAGTGCCCCCTATTTTTACAATTTACCGTACATGGGGGATTCCATGCTACCCCAGTAACAACCAGTATTTCCTCAGTATTATAGTCATGAATTAAAGCTACGTAAGTTTGCATAAATACTAACTAAGTCCCGCACATTACTTTTTGTGCTTAAAATCAATTTCTTGTTAAATAGGAAATTATTTGATTTTTAGCAAAACACTTAGTAGGCCTTGGTGACTTAAAATCATGATTGGCTCTAGCCCTGGTGACGAACGAAATTTGTTGTAAACAAGCTGGTTTTGTCATGACACGGTGATTTTGCGATGTTTTGTTTCCAATTACAAACATATGATATATATTTCCTTCGACGCGTGATCATCCATTCATAACAAAATATAAGTTATTTCTTTTAATTGCAGACATAAGTTGCCTATCAAACACCACCTTCCAACCATCAACGTAGTTGGGGACTCTAACAGTGAGTATAATGATCTTTGCTTATGCATTGAAATAAGTTCCTGCATTAAAAACATTCTAGGAAAAAGTTAGAGTAATTTTCTTTGTAACTAAAGATAGAATTGATATTGGATCGAATGCCAATGTTAAGCTTTTATTGATTATTAGGGACTTTTAGATTGAGTGGATGAGAACACGACGAACGCCGACTGATCATGCGTGTCAACGTACTCAACTCCCAATGTTGCAATGACTACAATTAGAAATCTTTTAGATTGCACTCGACGATATACATGCATGCAGGAAGTAACACTACGAACATGACGGACAAAGAAAGAGGACAAAATATACAGTTCCTCATTCTACCCTCAACATTTGCTGTGGTAGACAAAAGAACATCCCTTCACAGCTATTATGTAAAAGTGTGTAGAACAGGTGAATATGCATGTGACACCTGTTATACACATTTTTACATACTAGCAGGGAAGGGGTGTTGCTTTGTCTACCCGAGGAACTGTATATTTTATGCACACGCGGCATAATAGTACCGTACTAGATTTAGGAAAATCAAGGTTGACGCATTCTCGATCACCGACTGAGACGACGTGATGCATGCGCAGTGCCTTGAGCTGACTTCAAACGTTGCAGTCAAAGCTGTCGACTTGCAAATCTAAACTTCCCTTTTGAGGGGGTTTTAGTGAAGGTCCGAGCGTTACAAAGTTTCTTTATAGGGATATAATGACAATATACAGTGTACGTGTATACTACAGAACTGGAGGTGTCGTTCATAATTTCACAAGTTCACAATCCCTTGTCAATTTTCTTACTTCTACAACTCTACAGACTGGAAGAAGAAGGTGTTTGCCTATCAAGATTCTCTACCTTCCTGCAGACCAGGACAACACTTACACAACCCTTCTCCTTCGGGCTTCTATAGCAAGAACATCTGGTTTTCAGATCAATGCAAACTCCGTCGATTTACCAAAACAGATGTCTTACAGTGCCTGCAGAACAGACCAGTCCATATTTTCGGCGACTCAACTTCTAGACAATTCTACTTGGAATTTGCCAACAAATACAAACCTGAGATAGTGGGGAAGAATCCAATAGATGTTAGTGAGAGTACAAGAGGTCCAATGTGCGCTAAGAGCGATAAGTTCAACATCTCTGTACATTTCAAATTTCATGGTTTTCCCGCTCGTCCAGCGGCATATATTCGCAAAGAGACGGTGACTTACATTGTCAATGAATTAGACGACCTCAAGGTAGACTCAAGATCAGTAATCCTTATTTGCGTTGGAACACACTACACGACATATCCTATAGAGATGTACGAACAGAGAATGCGAGATATCAAGGCGGCTGTCCAGAGACTGCATACAAGAAGTCCTCAAACACTGGTGGTCTTCAAAAGCGCCAACACCAGAAATTACAAGAAGATCCTCTATCAGTTACAGAACAGCGAGTGGTATGTTAGGACCTTGGACCTGGCGTTGAAGTCAATCTTGAAGGATTCTCCAGAACTGGCATTCCTTGACGCGTGGGATATGACCATAGCTCAGAATTTTAAAGACAGTATCCATCCTGATCACGCAGTTCTCTCAAATCTCATGAATAATTTTCTTTCCTATATTTGTCCTGATGCGCCGAGTCCTCTATAAAGCCATATTTAACTAAAGAATACTTGCTTAATTTGGTTTATTATTTCCTGTGATTTCAAATTAAGAATAATAATGGGTTCTTATATAGGAATTTGTTCCTGCCAGGTGACCATTTCCCTCACCTGGGTGGAAAGTGGCAAATTTAGATTAATAACTTGGCAAAGGACATTGGTGCCGCGGTGAACCGGGACGCTATCCACTGTCCGGTGACGTATCGATCAGACCACTATATGTGAAAATAGACCACTAGGCCTATATGAAAATAATTGAAACAGTTGTGTTGAGTAGAGTCATCACCTTTGTATATTGAAGATTACTTCTCTCCATGAATTGTGTTTTATGACTTTTTTGTTAATGATTTTTGTTTTGTTTTGTGGTATATAATACTCTGAGTATCATCTGGCGTTTGTATATTTTACCGTTTTTAGTATTGTATTTCATGTATTTTTAAAACTTGCTTGTAAAATATAAACGATTCAGCCATTGGCTCGTAGTCATGTTTTAATAAATGGGCGATTGAAAAGAGCTGCCCGTGAAAGGAGATGGGGTTTCATTGACAACGATAACATAGGTGACAAACACCTTGGCAGAGATAGGGTCCACATCAATGGCAGGACAAGTTGTTCTTGCCTCGAATCTACACCACTCCATTGAGCGACCTCAAGGGCCACCTACACCTACTCAGCAAACGTCCTACGCTGAAGTTGTTGGATCTTCAACGCAGGATTTCGAGATGATTGCACTGAGAGGGAGGCTCAAATCTGCACCTGCTCTTCCAATGCTTCCACTGACAAAAGCTCAACAAGGATGGCACGAGCATCCATATCTCGTCATGGCAACATGCAGTTAAACTCTGTCTCTAGTACTGGCATACTGCATCATAATCTTCAGGAACAATCTCATGAACTGAATAAGAGTAAAAATTAAACAGTAAGAAGGTGGTACAGTTCCTCTGTTTAGAAACAGAGGCTTAAAATTTGCTCATTTGAATATTCCTTGCTTAGCTGCTAGAGTAACAAACTTAGATTACTTCTGAGAAATGCATAATTTGATGTTATTCGTTTAAATGAAACATTTTGCGACTCCGTGATTGATGATTCTGAATTGTATATAGATGATTATATTTCATTACGTAGACATGGTGGTGGTGTAGCTGTATATATATATCCAAGAGGTTCAATTATAAAAGAAGGGATTATTTGATTTCATCTACTTTAGAATGCCTTTGGTTTGAATTGTATTATCCAAATAATTCTCCCATCCTTGTTGGAGAGTTTTACAGACCTCTAAATTCTCACGTTGATTTCTTTGAAGAATTAGACGGAAATTTGGACTCTGCTCTGTCGGAAGATATGAGCTGTATTATTTTAGGTGATTTCAATTGTGATTGTATGCCACACCAACTTGATCTGAATGCTGAAAAGTTAATGTTTTATACAAATATGTACGGGCTAAGTCAGCTAATTGATACTGCCACAAGAGTTACAAATACCTCTTCTACTTTAATTGATTTGATATTTGTATCAGACAAGGACCTTTACAATGAATGGGGAATATTTGAAACTAGCATAAGTGATCATTATTTGGTGTATACGATTCGCGATTTTAGTGCAAAGATCCATAACAAATCTGAATACGCAGAATTTCGCTCGTTTAAAAATCTTGACGAGGAGAAATTTTACAGTGAATTGAGAAGTACTCCTTGACAGGTCATAAACGATATATATAGATAATGTTGATGTTGCGTGGGATATGTGGTTGACTCTATTCAATAATATAATCAACGTGATAAAGTTCTCAAAGCTGCTAAAGCTAACAAAAATGATGATCAGTTATTCATCTCATGATGAAAAGAAAAAGAGAATATAATACAGACTAGATTTCACAAAATCGTAACAATAGTTAGCAAATGTGGAGATGTTTGAGAAACCTTGTGCCTAAGTCATTACCTATTTCTCCCAATAGCATAAACGTTGATGATGCTAATGTGTCAGACAATGCAAATATTGATGAAGCTTTTAATGACTTTGTCATTTCTAATGCTATTAAGATTACAAAAGACCTGCGAAGGAATATGTCTCAACTGAGAGTAGACGAGGACAATAATTTTGGTCCAACTAATTCGAATTTTATTACTGAGGATTTTGTATTGAAAGAGATTGATAATCTGAGTATAGATAAAGCAACTGGTGAAGATCACATCAGCTGTAAACTTTTTAAAGATGACGAAGAATGTTATCGCAGAGTCTCTTTGTGATATCATTAACAAACCCCTGTCTACAGGAGTTGTTCCACGTAAATGGAAAAAGGCTCGGGTAGTACCAATATTCAAATCTGGAGATATATATTCTTCTTTGAATAATTACCGCCCCATTTCAATATTACCTATCGTAAGTAAAATTATAGAAAGGGCCGTCCACCAACATCTCATTGAATTCTTGGACGAGAATCAATTACTACACCCTAATCATTCTGGTTTTAGACCTAAACATTCAACAACTACTGCCCTTGCAAAACTTGTAAATCATTGGTCGTTGAATATTGATAACTAAGACATTTCTGGAGTTGCCTTCATAGATCTTCGTAAGGCTTTTGATACTGTTGACCATGAGCTACTTCTACATAAACTAGCTTGTATAGGTTGTAGTAATATGACTATTTATTGGTTCAAATCATATATAGGGGATCGACAACAAGTGACCCAATTTAAAGTAGCCAAGTCGCATCCATCAACAATCAAATTAGGTGTGTCACAAGGTTTAATTCTTGGTCCCCTTTTATGTTCAATATATGTTAATAGTCTACCTGAATGTACTCCTGAAGATATCATAGATATGTATGCTGACGAAACGACACTTACCGTCAGTGCAAATGATGCAACTGTTGTGGAAGAAAAATTAACTGTTGCATTAAACAAAGTCATGGCATGGATTAAGGAAAATCGTCTTGTTCTTAACACTAAAAAAGAACTTGTGTCATGTTAATAGGCTCTCGTGCTAATCTCAAGAAAATTGAATCTTTCACCATTTAATTAAATGGCAATTTGATCAAAAGAGTTCAATTCACCAAATGCTTGGGACTTTCGATAGATGAAGAATTGAAATGGTCTAAACAAATCGAAGACGTAAGTAAAGTTACCCAGAAAAACATTAGCATGATAAAGAGAGCAAAGAGTTTTTTGCCTCAAAAATCCTTTAAGTTACTTTATAACAGTCTAGTGTTACCACGATTAGATTACTGCTCTGTTGTATGGTCGAACAGATTTCATTCTCATACAAGTAAGCTGCAAACGAATCAAAAGAGGGCCGCAAGAATAATATTGAACAAGACATAATGACACACCGTCGGCTGATTTGTTCACAAGTCTTAAATGGATAACACTAGATAAGCTGTTTGAGTTAAGTCGCGTTATGATGATATATAAATGCGTTCATAACTTAGCACCTCCTTACCTTCAGGTAGGCTTAATCAATCCTAATGATGTACATAAGCATCATACAAGGCAAATAGACAGTGGATGTTTACGTGTGCCTAGATTTCACGCTGATTGTTATAAGTGAAGCCCAATTGTTTCTTCCATATTTGAATAGAATTAGCTAGATAATTCGTTGAGAACGGCTTCCTCTGTCAATTTATTTAAGAGATTGTTTAAACAAAGTTGTAATTTGTGAATGGCTCAGCCGAACATACACTACGTGCATGTTTGGTAATAGTAACATGACTTATTCACATAATTGCGACTTAATCAATAGTTTCCTATTGGCATTACTGTTTACCAGGTTAATGATATATGTTTATTTTGCAAACGAGTATTATTTTTTATAACTGTTCTGTATAAACGTAATAAACGATGTAAATATGTTCATGTTTATTCAGGGCCCCATGGAAGACCACTACATGTTGGTGAATGGGCTACCCTGTCAAAAAATTAGAAATAAATAAATAAATAAATAATATATATACCATGAGAAAATTAAAATTAAAAAAAAAAAAAAAGACGCATCGTAGTGGTTTTTCATGGCGACTTTTACACTTATAACGATAACAGGTTTAGTCAATCACCAAGATGGGACTTAACTTTAACGACAGACATGTGTAATGCAATATGCCCTAGCCCAGGCGCGTACGCAGGATTTTTTCAAGGGGGGGGTTTTAACATTTATAAATCGGTCCGAAAATTTCGCAACGACTCAGCCAGCCGCTGAATAAGCGGGGGGGGGGGGGGGGGGGGGGGGGGGGGGGGGGGGGTAAGAGGACACATTTTTTTTTTTTGTCCCAAAAAAATCGCAACGACTCAGCCGACCGCTGAATAAGCGGGGGGGGGGGGGGGGGGGGGGGGGGGGGGGGGGGGGGGGGGGGGGGGGGGGGGGGGGGTAAGAGGACACTTTTTTTTTTTTTTTTTGGTCTCGAAATTTGGAAATTTGACATTTTGCTCCGTTGGGGGGGGGTAAGGTCACCTTTGTTAGGTCGGCCATGGGAATAATTTTTTTTTTTTTTTTTTTTTTAATAATTTAAAAAAAAAAAAAAAAAAAAAAAAAAAAAAAAAAAAATCCAAAAGGGGGGGGGTTTTAGGTTTTTTTTAGGGGGGTTTACACACAAAAAATTTCCAAAGGGGGGGGGTTTAACCCCCAAAACCCCCCCCCCCTGCGTACGCGCCTGCCCTAGCCTACCACCTTATGGAATTCGCATCATATCTATCAAATTTCCCTCAACCTCGAGCATTCTCTGGTGAGCTAGACTATACTTAGCCTTTTGTCAAGGCCTCGTGACTCTCGCTAAGCAGCTGAGATGAGTCTAGATACCCGGGATGAACGCGCGACCGAGTGACGACCGTGATTTTCGCACTGGCGTTCACCCAGGTTTTCACGATTAGTCTCTTTTTAGTCGCTCGGCGTCTATCAGACATGTGACCTTGCTTAAGGGCTAGACTATACTAGGTTCGCTACTTCAAAGGTCTTTGCACACACACAGAGGCCCGTATGCAGGGGGGGTTATATAAACCCCCCCCCCCCACCAACAAAACAAATTGTCGATCGGCCAAATTTTCAATTTTGGGACACCCAAAAAATGTCCCCTTACCCCCCCCCCCCCCCAAAAAAAAAAAAAAAAAAAAAAAAAATGTCCTCTTAACTGCCTCCAGCGCCCTAACTCAACAGTCAGGCTCTTCGCTGATGATTGAATGCTATACAGCAACATCAAGACTGAGTAAAAAAAAATATTAATTATTCACCGGCCTGCTAAATAGCTGCAAAATTAGACCCCCCCCCCCCCCCCCCACATATGGAAACGTTGTATCATCCGCTCAATCTGACTTGCGTGCATAGAACAAATAAGCATTTTTCCATGAAAAATTAAGTTTTCTAAAATGTGCGTTTCTTTCCAGCATTTGGGCGCCCGGGAGTCACTCGGGTAACATTTCATAAAGTATAATATAAAAAGACCATATGCAAATCTTCTGTACTTTTGTCGGAAAAAATACATTTATCCAGTACATTGTCGTCTCTTTTTGCGTTGGAGAAGAGCAAATAGCGAGTTTCAATCACACTTTGGCCGCTCTCGCAAGCTCTCACTCGTTTCACTGTGGTCAAGCGACTTTGGGGCAAGCGGTTAATGAAAATACTAATCGTTAGCTTTCTTCTGGTATTAAACTTGTTTTGATTGATTGTATAATTTTGTCGGAATAAAGGAAACAAAAAAGCTTGACCAATAACTTATCAGCGTCTGAATTGACCTTTTGACCTTGAATTCCCTGTTGCAAGCGCACTAATAACGTCATCTTCGCTAAATTGGTGTCTTTTATCGTAAAATGCTATACTTGCACAATGTTTATACATCTTTTTTAATTATTAG